TGTGGAATGAACTCCTTTTGAACTATTGTCAGATGCTTTATTCCCTGTTTTCACCTGCACATTCAGGTCTACTTCAGGTGCCTTTGAACTTACTTTCTCCTACAGTGACCTAAGCACTAATTTTTGCTTCTTTCTCATGCCATTTATTATTATGAGTTCACATCTGAGGTGGGTGAGTGGGAAGAGATCAACCAAAGGACTTGGACACAGATAATAGTGTGGTGAAGGCCAGGGCAGGGCCTGTAGGGGCCTGCTAGAGGGGTCGGGGGGAAATAAAGGAACATATGTAATACTTCCAACAATAATGATTTTAAAAAAAATACAGACAACACAACTCTTCTAAGCATTAAAGAGGATTATGAGATTGAAACTTTCCCTCAAATCATTTAAGATCTACTACAAATATAGAACATAATAGGTGCAATGATTTATTCATTCGCTCTAACACATTTTTGTGGGCTTTTGTATACTAAAGTTTAAATATAGCAATGAACAATAGAGAAATTTCCAGCTCTCATAGAATTTATATTCTGATGTATGATAGAAGTATACACGTAATGCCAAGTGTTCATTTATAACTTAGTTTTAAATTTTTGTAATGAATTTTTCTCAGATAATATTTATAAGGGGATTTATTTTATAAGAACATCTTTAAATAATTTATATTAAATTAAAAAATGATAATGTTAATGGCGCAGTAGAATCTAACAACTCCTGGAAAAATGTATGCCAAGATTCAAGTAGACATGTATATGACATTTATCTTGTTATTGAGGGAATAGTGGGAGCCAGAACACTGTTGGCCCCGTGAGCATCTTGGGAATTTTAGAAGCAGAAGCAATTACAGTAATAGCAGCTATGCAAAGGTTGCTGGACTGCAGTACATTAACATGGGAGTCTCAGTGGCCGCAGCATTTTCTAGGAAACAGTGATAGAGGTGATGTGATGGTAGGAGAGACCCTTCATATGCACCAGTGATTTTTAAGTCAAATTAAGATCAAGAACTATATGCAACCAAGTACTAGCTAAGATGAAAGTAAACTGAATGAATATAACCAGTGTCAATATTTGTGACAGACTTTGTTTTCCAGTGATGATCACAATGTCTCCTATTTCACATGATCTATGCTGACTTCAGAAATCCAATAAAGCATGGCAATTAAAATACCTGAACATTTGGTGTGAACCAAAGACAATGCACTGTTCATTAGTTTCTGATTGAAAATGTGATTTTCTGTTCTGGGCCATATTATTTATTTGCTTAAGATAACGGACTCTTTAGGAGCTTCTGTCTTGCCTTAAGTTCTTGTTTGCCTGGAAATGCTAACGGTGAAGGTCCTTTTAACAGATGTTCCTCTAGACATACTAACGTCCCAGGTTCACTGCTCATTTTATTCACCAGAGCTCTTTTTATTACAGCAAATAAGAGTGGGAAAATGCAAAAAGGACTTCTACTCCAATCCCTACTGTGGTTATACACCTGGCTACCTGTCAGTCATGCTGTCATAGCTCGCATTTGTCAAGTGCTCACTCTGTGCCAGTCAGTCTTTTAAGTGCTGTACGTATGTTAGTCAATTTAATTCTCATAACAACCTCTTGAGACAGGTTCTTACCCCGCCCCCTCCTACGGAGGAGGAAAGCCTGGCACAGAAGAGTTAAGTAACTGGCCTAAGGTAAAAAGCTGGTAAGCTAATAAGCAATGAGTCAGGATCCAGGGATCCCAGGCTGTCTCCAGAGCCTGCCCCCTTGGCGATGTTATAAGCAAAAGGAAATTCTAAAACTGGAGTAGTTGCTCCAAAGTAACTTGGGGTAAAGTTTAGCAAACCATCTTTTTGGAAGGAAAAAAGATTCTTGAAGGAAAAGTAATTTCAGTGATTATTAACCAATAACAAAATTTTAACAGTGCATTTAATTATAGTTTCCTAAGGATAATTTTTAACTCAGATGGAATTTACTCTAGCATGTGAAACCACCCGCAGTGACAATAAGGAAAGGTTGGTGTGATGTATCATTGTTGCAAACATGAAAGAAAGCAAGTTTTCCAAGTAATCATGGCTGGAACAATAAATCGTTTTAAAAATATTATACATTTTGTTAAGGATAGAACACAGGTTGACTTAGTCAAGAAGATCATAAAAAATATTTCTGAAGAAGTGTATATATTTTTTAATAATAGCTTGGCTCGACAGTTTATGCAAGTTTCAGTAAAATTATGTACTCACTTAAATAATCCTACTTATGCAGTTTCACTGTGCAGATAAGGAAAGAATGGCAGGTTAATTATCTGTGACCTAGGGTGAGAGATGGAGATCTGTCTTTTTCTCTATGTGTATACTTACACTTACCTCTAGTTAGTAAGCACAAGAATGAGAATACAACTCCGAGTGTCCTATATTACAATGTGCCAGTATGGCCTGGCCGGTGTGGCTCAGCACTAGAACGTGCACCCAGAAACTAATCATTGGCATATCATTTCCTGGTCAGGACACATGCCCAGGCTGCGGGCTTGATCCCTAGTAGGGGTCATCCAGGAGGCAGCCAATCCCTGATGTTCCTCTCTCGTCCATGTTTCTATCTCTCTATGGCTCTCCCTTTCTCTAGAAAAAATCAATAAAAACATATTTTTTAAGCACCAGTATGTATCATGTCAAATATATTTTTAAAAAGAAAGGTGCTAGGAAGTGTCAATGTAGCTTCCTCAGTTGGAATAAATGTGCACTCTAATGGGAGAGAACGGGGGAGGCTCTGTATGCTTGGGGACAGAGAGAGCACGGGAAATCTCAGCTCCAGCCTCTCAGTATTTCTGTGAACCTAAAACTAAAAAACAAAGTCTTAAAAGAAGAAAGGTGAAGAAAAGGCAAGCTTAAGTCAAGGGGCGAGGAGCATATGGAGAAGGGGGGAGAATGAAGATAAAGGATAGCGGTGGAGAATTAGGGGAAAAGGCAAAGGCAGATTAGCAGAGGGGGATGTCAGGTAACTCACAGCGCCTGCTAAATGGAGGTCCCCACATGGAACCTCCATGTTCAATATGTGTAAATACTGAACCCATTTCTGGCTTTACATTTTTTTCTTCTGTATCTATGGTAATTCCAGTTAAAGAAAATAGAAACAAAAAGTAAATGAATGGTTATAGTTCATCTCACATAACTTACATATTGGACAGATTAAGAACCTATAATAAAAAACAGTGCTATTCATTGAAGTACCATGCTGAGGATTTCTATACGTATTGTCTCAGTTGTTTCTCATAATAGGTAGGAAACGGATGGTAGTAAGGTTCAGCAACTAGCCCAAGGTCACCCAACAAGTAGCAGGGTTGGTATTCGACCCAAGCAGTCTGACTACAGAGCTCACCTTCTTAATTACCGCTGTGTGCTGTCGCACTCCGTCGGAGAGAGGCTGCCTTTGTATTGGGTTGCTGAATTGCACCATGTTGAGCGTTTGTGTTGGTCGACTCCAACTCAGCAGTTGCCATGTCATAGGCAGCTAAGGGGAGCTTGACAAATTGCATAGATCTTTTTCCTACTCTTTCCTCCTACCTCACTCTCACCCATCCCCATATAGTGAGTGTATGCATTCTTTAAAAAATACTTTCATGTTATTTTAATTCTTACCCACCAACTCCGTGGAGGACCACAGCTCTCCTAACTATTTTGTGTTATTTAAGGAAAAAGGTGGCATGTAAAAGAAATGTAGGTATTTCTGGCCTCAGGGAGGCTTGCCATAAATCAGTCCTGAAATGTAACATGTAAGAGTGAAGGATTCATGATCAAATAAGGCGTGAACTTTGTGTGAAGCCTTTGGTTGTTGTAATAATATTTTTAGACTGTCTAAGACTCTTAACACTGGTTCTTACTCCAGCTGGGAAAATTAAAGTCTCTTGGGTTTCCTCTGTGTTCTCTTTGATAAATTAAACACAGGACTTATGTTCCAGCTGCACAACTTACTAGTAATCAGTGTGTAACTGTTGGCCAGTTACTTGATGATTCCGTGTCTCTGTTTCCTACTCTGTTAAACATACTTTACATATTATTGTGAGAATTAGATGAGTGACTACTCATAAACTACATAGAAATATGCCTATGCTACAGGAAGTGCTCAATTATAGTAATAGATATCATGGTGAAGATGATTATTATGTGATAGGAGTTGCTAATTCCCTACCCTTCTGTTTTTATGCCTCCACCAGTGGAAATCCCCCACTGACAGAGCAAAATAGTTGGCAGCTGATAACTCCCAACAGCTTTAGACTTCTAAGTCACACTGTTTCTTAAAAAATCTATAGAATAGGAGCTACATTTTTCTTTAACTTTCACGATAGGGGCACTATTAGAAATGAGATTAAAAGCACAGAATCTGGAATAAAATTACTGGAATTTGAATCCTAACTCTGCCTATTGCTGGAGTTACTTATCCTCTCAGGAGACACAGTATCTTTTTCTGTAAAAAAAAAAAAAAGTTGAAGGGATGATCATAGTCATTTTCTCATAGGGTTATTATTAGGTGCATATTACTTAGTGTTTGTAAATAATTGAACAACATTTTAAATGTACTTTATCAACATGCATTATTCCATGTTAAAACATCTTTTCTATCATTTGACTCTGACCGAGAAGACAAAGCCAAAGAAAGACACTGTCGCTTATGTAATTACTATTTATGACAAAAGAAGCTTTTTCTAATATTGAATTTATTATTGCATAACCTCTCTGAGACTCAATTTCGTTATCTATATGGAAATTATAATTTCTAACCTCTGCACCTGCAGGGTTTTTGTGACGATACTCTGACGTATTGAGTATGAATGTGCTTTCTGTATTGAAAGGAATTATACAAGGAAGCAAGGTGTAGGGAGAAAAACAGGTGTAGGGATAGCATGTTTTTGCATCCCAGTACGTTAAAAATGTTGTAATTTATTTACTCTTTTAATCTCACAACAACCCCACCAACTACATCATTTACCAATGAAAGTATTTGACTAAGATCATGTAGTGAATAAGCTATAACATTGGAAAAGTCAACCCACATTTACCTCCAAAACACCAAGAGTGCAAATAATTATAATCCAGATAGATCCTAGGGAATTGTAGAACCTAGCAACCAAATTTCTCGTTTGATACTTGTATAAACATCAATATTCTGATAATATTTATTATAAATTTTATAATTGATAAGCATCTAAATACAGACATAGCATATAAGTCCTACCTAAGAAAATTTTCATTGATCATTATGTGTCTTGGTCCACTTAGATTCTGAGATATTTATCTAGATATTTGATACATACAATTTTGTCTAATAATGTGTTATAAGCTTTTCTAGGAATAATATCAGTGTACTGTTCATGATAATTGTTTTCCTATTTAGATATTATATATGTATATTAATTATTACATAGTAGCTTAATTGAAAGGAAACTTTTTAAAGAAACCTGGTAATTTCTATAAAAAATATTGTTGTTTTTAATTTAAACTTCCTACTACTTGGCAGTATATTGTTTCCTTCATATATTTTATATAATATTTACATACTAATGTTTCCAAGAAAATAATTTATCTTGGGCCCTCTGAAATAATTGCATTTTTAGAATATGTTATAAGATGAAACACAGCAGGGAATGCTTTTTTGTTTTTCTAGTCACCCACTGTGAGGATTTTGTGGTGTGTGTGTGTGTGTATGTGTGTGTGTAATGTATTGCAAGTAAACATTTAAAAAAATTTACAGCTTTTGTTTTTGATTTTTCTCCAAATTTTTTTATATCTCCAAGGTGTTTGTTCAATTCTGTTGGGCAAGGATATTTATATAAGAAACTAGAGGCCCAGTGCATGGATTCGTGCATGGTCCTACGCCCTCTCGCAAATCTGGTTCCCCTCGGGGGATGTAGCAGTGTGCCAAGTGCCGCGCTGCTAGCACTCATCCCGGCCTGCTGTGCCTGCTGTTGCCGTGGAGTTGGGAGAGGCTCCTGCCCCCGCAACTGCACTCGCCAGCCCTGAGCCAGGCTTCTGGCTGAGGGGCGCTTCCCCTGTGGGAGCACACTGACCACCAGGGGGCAGCTCCTGCGTTGAGCGTCTGCCCCCTGGTGGTCAGTGCATGTCATAGCGACTGGCTGACCCGTTGTTCAGTTGTTCGGTAGTAATGGTCGCTTAGGCTTTTATATATATAGATAATATCAATAGGTGTTCATCCAAATAGAGTTGAGTGTTGTTCATAATTAAGTATAATTTAACTTAAACATGAGCTTCTGAGTAAAACTTCTCAGAAAAATTATACTGTGCACTATATCAGTGACCTTGGGTTAATTATCTAACCTCCTTGAATCTTAGTTTCCTCATCTGCACAATATAGAATGACAGTGTGTTCATGACAGAGTGGTTAAGATGCCATGTGTACAAGTGGCGAGTCTATAATGGTACTTAACAAATGTTAGTCTTCTTCCTCATTTTCCCTAGTAATTTTATTTGCCTTATAGCTGCTTGCAAAATACAGCATATCCCACAATAATACTTATTTTGCAATATTTTTCAATGAGTAGCTGTCAATAGGCAGAACTAACTACTTGGAGTACATTAGTGATCCCCACTCATCGATCTGTGGATGGATACTGGTCTGTGGCTATCTTTTCACTCCACAACTAGAAAAATAATGATAATAAAGTTATTCATAAAGCTAAATTAATTCCAGTGAAATATTATCTTTCTAATTGTGTTGTGATTAAGATATCCCTTATGGAGTTACAGTGAAATAGTGATATTTTGGGTTTTTAAAAATATCCTTTCAGAGCAATATAAAGATGTAACTCCTCTGTTGGTGACCCAGATTTCTTTTATATATCAACTCTGACACCACTACCTATGTGACCTAGAGCACCTTATCTAACCTCTCTCTGCATCGTTTTCTCATCTGCTCAATACAAACACCGCTAGGAATTACCTCATGGGTTATTATCAAAATAAAAATAGCTAATAAATCAAGATTCTTGGTAAAATTCTGGAACATAGTAAGCATTCCATAAGTAGCCAAAATTACTTTCATCATCACTGGTCCATGAACCCATAATGCTGGACACTCTATACATTTAGATAATTGTCTTCTGCCATAGTCACTTCTAAAGGAAGGAAAGCTTATATTTGCATATGATATAATACCTTTAACCCAGAGATAGTCTTTGTAGACATATGAGATTGTTATTGAATGTGAAAGCATTTTACAAAATATCCCTGTTTTCAGCAATACGTTTAATATTGTCATTGAACACCATCCATATATAATTTGGTGATTTTTTAAAAGCCTATTTAAAAAATAAATATATTAAACTAGGCTTTTGATGCTTTAAGCCCCCCCCCAAACCAATGTGTGCCTATATTATATTTGGCATTTTATTTCATTATCAACCTTTTTCTTCTTTAGATTTTAGCATTTCTTAAAGCAGTGTTTTTACATACCAATTACACAATGATGAAGGCCTACATAGTTTTATTGCAAATAAAAATAAATGATTGGCAAATATGAGGTGTAATTTTTCACTTTTTTCTTATTGAGTTCCTCTATATAGTTTATTTCAGAAGTTTGGGAAAATTAGAGCAGTGTTTATAATTCACTCTTTCTGCTAATCTTGTAAGGCATCACAAGGAGAAAAAACAATAATTAGATAACTTTTTTGCATAACTTTAATTTGCATAGCATTTGTTCTGTTTTCTCAGGAGGAAGTGCTATTGTGTTAATCTTGAATTATTAATGCCATGCCATGCCATGGAAATGAAACCTGCGACCACATGTTTGAATATTGAAGACAAAGAGAATATACAGTACAGCACGCACGCGGTTCCTTTACAGCGAAAGATATTGCTCCCTCACAGGCTTTAGGATTCTAGTCTGACCCTTTCTTGAGACATGTCCATTTCAAAAACTCAGTCACAGTTTCTAACTATGAAAGCTTTGCCCTTTGTCCTCACAAAAGAATGGGGGGAGGCAGGGTTTGTCAGGAGCCAACTCTATTAATCTGCAGTTTTTATAGTGATAACACAATTATATTTCTGATATGTAAGGTTGGACTGGCAGAAACTCTTATTTACCTTTTATCCCTAGTACCCAGTATGATGCTTGTATGATGCATTAGCAGATGCTAAATGAGCATTTGTAAAATGAATAATAATCAAGCCAACTGACAAACCCAGCACAGACCAAATATGCAATTCTTTTTAAGGTCACTTTCAAGTGAGTCTTCTAATTCAAGTTCCACACTCCTAGGCTTGATATCCAAATTATCTTCTTCCAGTTTTTAGTGGACATTTTACAGAATTGATTGGAATGTAAGTTATCCAAGCACCTTACTGGGTGATGAATATAAAATACTGAACTTCACCAATGAAGCATCTTTGATTTGTAACATTCTGAGACTCTTCCCTAGAATGGAATAAAATAATATAATTGACATTACTAATTCCTGAACAATTAAAATACTATTGCCCAGCCGGCATGGCTCAGTGATTGAGCATCGACCTATGAACTAGGAGATCTCAGTTCATTTCCAGGTCAGGGCACGTGCCTGGGTTGTGGGCTCAATCCCCAGTGTGGGGCGTGCAGGAGGCAACCAATCAATGATTCTCTCCCATCATTGGTGTTTCTATCTCTCTGTCCCTCTCCATTCCTCTCTGAAAATAAGAAAAATATTTTTTTAAAAGAAAGAAAACACTATTCCCCTCAACTACAGCAGAGCAAAGTTTTGACTATTAACAGGTAGCTGAACTCTGGTTAATGATGTGTGAAGCTGACAGGTGTCTGATGGGACCTTAGTGCTCTAAGGATCTCATTGCAACCAGAACCATTCTTCCATTACTAGACTCTGGAAGCAGGAGTTCAGGAATGATTGTCAGTACGCAAGACAGTGTAGAAACTTTTCCAATAAATTGCCATATGGCGCTGACAGTGTGCAAGTTGCAGCCAGGAGCCGTGAACCCTAGGCACGTGTCATACTAGATATGTTACAGGTGAAGGTCATGTTTATGAGCCAATGGGCCCTGGAAGGCTTTACTTGACAACAGATATTAGATTGTTAAAGCACTTTTTTAAAATAGCCCCATAAGAAATTCACAGAATAGTTTTTTAAACCTAGGTTATAAAATCAAATAGTAGTTGTAGAAAAGGTTGATGTTTTAGAAAAGAACAGTTTGACTCAATATTCAGTGTATGCCTAATGCTCAGGCCATTATCAGTTAACCCATAGATGTAATCTGTGAGTAAAGCAGAGATTTTGTGTTTTCGTGACCTCGATTAAATGCAGTGTATCTCTTCATATATATGCATTATTGCTTCCAAGTTGTCATATTCATAGCAAAGCCATTGAAATTTGATACATTTCAAATTAGTTGGATTTTTTCTATGTAATAGAGTAAAAAGGGAAGGTTTTTATTCAAACAAGAGTATATCGTCAACCATTGCTTTTATGATATATAGCAATACCTTTGTGACTATTTAAATAGCGGAGAGGTAACTTCTTATTTCAAAATATTTTACACATATTTCTTTCTTAATATTTATTATGGGAATAAGTTAAACTGGACTTAAATTTAGGTTATTACCAATGCCATAATAGCTATAAATGCCTCAGTATTTCAAATGTTGGCTGAGATTTATTTAGCAAATCTGTTGGACTAGAAAAATCAATTTATCCAATGGCTAGTTTATAGTTTTCAATAGAATATTGGTTTTTACCTTTTTAAAAAAATGCTTCAGTAGTCTTGGTCAGCACCAAATTACTCATTAGCCTAAATGTAAAATAAATACAGGAAAGCTTGGTACCTTTTAAAAAAATTTTTTTTTCTTAATCCTCACCTGAGGATATTTTTCCATTGATTTTTTAGAGAGAGTGAAAGGGAGAGGGAGAGACAGAAAGCAAGAAACATCAATGTGAGAGAGACACAGCGATTGGTTGCCTCCCACATGCGCCTGACCAGGGCCAGGGACAGCCTGCAAACGAGGTCCACGTCCTTGACCAGAATCGAACCCAGGACCCTTCAGTCTGCAGGCCAATACTGTATCACTGAGCCAAACTGGCAAGGGTGGTATTGGTATCTTCGAT